ACAACCAGGATCTGAAAGTCCAATTCAGCATTATCAGTCCTCTACAATTTTCCTGGCCACCAGAGCTTTGTCAGAGAAAAACATAGTTGATAGTCTGATTAACTGAATGACAAGTTATCGGTCTTTTTCTCCCAAAATCTGGAACAGAAGAGGTCTAACTATTTATTACCCATTCAATGTAGTTAAATCAATCTAGTGGTATCCACCATCCCAGGGAGAATAGCTAAAATACTTTGTTGTCCAGTTCCTGCTCTCCTATGGACAAATTTGGGTGTCTCAGTCAATCAGCCCAAATTTTGAGTTTTCCCTTAGAAGACCAAGATTGTCAGTTTCTGCATTTTTTCGACCCAAAGGAGAATTTAGAGAGCTTCTTTTCTCAGCAGCAAGTCCCATCCTACTTGTTTACATAAGCTACAGTGGTGCAATTGTTGGTCTACATCATGAAAGAAGTGGCAATCATGCAGGTCACTAAGTGTCTCATAACATTGCCAACTGCCCACAGTTCCAGCAAATTGATGCTTCTTCTGCATTCCAGGGAGGACTAATTTCCCAGACAAAAAGACAGAGGGATGTGTCATGATTTTGACCATTAGACGTTTTCCCTTAATCAGGTTTCTGTATTTGTTGCACCACCTCAGGGACTGGGTTACTGCTGTGGTGAGGTAATCGGATTGCATAGGGACACTGAACCCATATTGACAGAATGGAGGCCTGGAGAGGTCTCATATACAGGCAGGGCCACTGGATACCACGAAGGCTAGGAGCTGCAGTGCTTGCCACCTTTGTGTGAGCTAAGCAAAGTAGGTTTGTCTTTCACTGCCCAATTCAGCAGTTGTTTCAATACCACCAGGGGCATATATTAAGTTATTTTTCCTTAGATTAAAGCTTCTCTGGACATTATGCATTTTTTTTGGAAAACGAATGCAAGAAGAAAGAGAGGTGGCTAGACACTATTCTGATCACCATCCTGTGCACTGTGATGACTGAAGTTGGAATCAAACTGAATAAGGAGAGGAGAGAGGCTTTAAAGTAGTTATCTTTAGTGTCAAAGAAAGTGATGTAGAGGAGAAAAAGCATGTCCATGCTGAGGCAGACCAAGCCACAGTTGGGCATTTTAAAAACTACCAAATACTGTAGTCACCCAAATGTAGACTGATTGAAAAGATAACTAAAAATCAACAAATTTAAAATGAAAGGTGCCATAGCAAAGACAAAAGAAGCTACAGAAAACTGGTTGGAGACAATGCACATAGTAACATGTCATATACAAAGGGAAAATTAAATATGATACACCAAACTACTATCAATGGGTTTCTCTCCCTCCTCCCCCCACCATACTGGTGTAAGAGTACAGTAACTCCTCTCTTAAAGTCGTCCCGGTTAACGTTGTTTCGTTGTTACGTTACTGATCAATTAGGGAACATGCTCGTTTAAAGTTGTGCATTTCTCCCTTCTAACGTCGTTTGGCAGCCGCCTGCTTTGTCCGCCTGCTTTGTCCAGGAAGAGCAGCCCGTTGCAGTTAGCTGGTGGGGGCTTGGAACCAAGGTGGACCGGCAGCCCCCCTATCAGCTCCCCGTTCCCTTAAGTTCCCTGTGCAGCAGCTGCCCAGCAGGCTAGCAATTGCAGCTGTCCCTCCCCTCACTGCCAT